ACATTAATCCTCGCTAATGATTTTTCCATAATCCGCGCTTTCAGCCTAATCCAGACCTTCGAGCGTGGCTCTGGGTCCCGCCTTAACCCCAAGAAGACCGAGGGTTTATGGATTGGCTCCCAGGCCGGAAGAACTACAGGCCCCGTTAACATCACTTGGGTTGCCGATTAACTTAAAATCCTCGGCATCTTCTTTGGTAATACTAACCTTGACTGTGCTAACTGGGCGGATGGGGTTAAAAAATTCGAGAACCTCCTTAATCACTGGCGCACTCGGACCCTTTCTCTAAAGGGCAAGGCCATGATTATTCATACGCTAGGAGCTTCGGGCCTGTGGTACAAAGCCACGGTGGTTAAAATGCCGGAATGGGTTTACACTCGAATTACCAAATCGATTTGGGAGTTCTTATGGAACGGAAAAACAGAACTTGTTAAACGAGACCTCTGTCGTCTACCATGGCAACAGGGAGGTTTATCCGTGATAGATCCCTTGGAAAAGTCCCGGGCCCTCAAACTCCGGTGGCTTCCCCCGGTGGGCGACGAGACTTACGAGGCCAAATGGGTCTATTTTGCGCGATATTGGATCGACTTTTAATCACTGGCGCACTCGGACCCTCTCTCTAAAAGGCAAGGCCATGATTATTAATACGCTAGGAGCTTCGAGCCTGTGGTACACAGCCACGGTGGTTAAAATGCCGGAATGGGTTTACGCCCAAATTACGAAATCGATTTGGGAGTTCTTATGGAACGGAAAAACAGAACCCGTCAAACGAGACCTCTGTCGTTGAACATGGCAACAGGGAGGTTTATCCGTGATAGGTCCCCCGGAAAAGTCCCTCGCCCTTAAACTCCAGTGGCTTCCCCCGATGGGCGACGGGACTTACGGGGCCAAATGGGTCTATTTTGCGCGATATATGATCGGCTTTTCGCTGAGCCATGGAATTAAAAGTTGGTCGTTTCTCCGGTCCAATGGCGTTCCCAAGTATTTGGGGGATGTACAACCCCCCATTTATCGGGCTGCTCTCGCTTTGGTCGACCGGCTGGGGGTGGGTTTTGACTCTCTCACGGACCTCAGTGTGAAGACCTATTATTCAAGGCTAACCCCCCCCCATGCCCCCCTGCGGCTCCCTTCCGTCGGGCAGTGGGAAAACCGCTTGGCCAATTAATTTAACTGGGCACATGTCTGGAAAGAAATCTTTGGTGCTGGTCTGAGTACCAATTGGTAGAGCGAAATTGCGTGGCGGATCGCTCACGGCGTGGTTAAAACCAGGGCTTACCTCAAGTCCTGGCGAGGCCTCGGCGTGAGTGATCATTGCGAGGGCTGTGGAGACCGCGAAACCATCACCCACGCGTTTTGCTCGTAGTAGATGAATAAAATATTTACCGTATGATGTAATACAAAAGCGGGTACTAATTACAACGTGACACCAAACATCAAAGGTGTGAACTAAAACGCCAGAAAAGGGTTATAATGCTGTAATTGTTTGTTAAGTTCAGGTTTAGTCTTATTTATACTTTGAGTTTTAAATTAATTGAGTTGGTAGCAGAATCCAGAATACTAAGCAAGAAAGGGAGTATTTGTTCTTACAAGAAGGAGATGCGTTGAAATGCTTAAAAATATGCGAGTTTTTATCGTTTTCTGTATGCTCCTTTATAGAGAAGTGGTCACTAGTTTCGCCTATATAACGGGAATTGCAACCCGCACAAAAAAATTGATTAACTACCATGGATTTTAGAGCATCAGGAGTACGATCTTTAACACTGAACATGTTTTTAATTTTAAAAGAAGTGAAAACCTGTTTGATATTCAAGTCCGATTTGCAAAAGCGCTTAGTGAGTTGTCGGAGTTTAAGGTCCGCTATTTTAGAATAATAGCCGACAAAGGGGAGTTTAAAGTAACGTGTATTATTGTCATCAATGTTCCGGCTATTTTGAGAGGAGGACCCGTCAAGATACCGCTTGAAAGTTCTGTTGAGATAAAGGAGCACACGGAAAGCGATAAAAACTCGCATATTTTTAAGCATTTCAACACATCTCCTTCTTGTAAGAACAAATACTCCCTTTCTTNCCATTGATGTGTTTAATATGCTTTATTGCAGGTGTACAACTGTATATCAGTAGATAAAACAAATGCTTCATTCTGGTACTTTGTTGATGAATACAAGTCTGGAAAGTCACATTAAAAATCCAGTATTTTGATCATGGTTTTGTAAATATAAGTTTTCTAAGCTTGTCCTTCTTTGACCTTAGTTACATGATAACTTGCCTTTATATATGCTATTCATTAATACATTAACCTCAGCACCACAAATAGCAACACTATTAAGAACATCAGAAGGTGTGACATGGGTGTTCATGCCCAGTTTATTATAAAGATGACTTCCATTTTGTATGGTTGCTCAGTGTAAAATATTTGATTTCCAGTAACTGCATGGAGAAATGACAGAGTAACATAATGAATAAAGTGCTATTGTAGAACACAGCCTATTGTCACAGTTTTATTGATTGCATTATATAGTGTGACTTTCTTTCTCATTTTCCCTCGTTATGTTAGATTTGGTAATATGTACCCCTTTGAGTTCAAACACAACAGGAGATCGATATAAATTCTAAGTTGTGCACAGATGGCAAATATAATGGTACACATGTCCCTTGAGGATGGATGTTGCCATAAACATCCCTTGCACTAGAGTCAAACACTTTGAAATTACCATTATCAGCACAGTAAATAATAACAACAGCCTTACATTGTACCGTTAAAATGAATGATGTGTATTGTTGTGATATCAGTGATTTGAAAGCTCTCTCCAGGGACACACAGTACTGATATCCCTCAATTGCAACCTCACCTTGTACATTACCAGTGTTGCTAAATTCACTATATTCAAAGTTGTAATTTTCTTCTAACACTGTAAACATTGTTGGCAATCTGTTAGCATAAAAAAAGACTGTCTGGCTAATTGTGACAAACTTGAATATAGTTGATTTCCAATATTCATAATTTGTATCAAATCATCAGGATAGCTTATCCCCTTCATATTAGAGTACACGAACTTTTTCCAGCAAAGTTACCTTGACTGTATGGTGTTACAATTGTTTTCGTACGTTCAACATTGTGCTGATCAGGACCAGGGTTTTACACGGTGTATATCAGCGCAGAGCTTTTACCTGGTACAATTACCTATGTGAGATCCATTCCGTCATGTATTCAGTTACTGGCAAAAAAACTGCAAGTATTTGACATCCTTCTTTGCATGTACAGTTGTAGTCCAACATCTTTTGCGACTGAACTTCATTAAATATACCGTTTTTCAATGTGTTTCTTTCTTACTTTTCCTACAATCCTAACTTGGAGTTAATTCATTTTCTTGCATATTTTCTAAAGCGATGATTTATTTTGGACGACGTCGGTGTGTTTTTACTTATACAGGTCCAAAAAAAGACTTTGTAGTTTTCTGCTTTTCTCAGATACACGTCCAAATCTTTTCAGTGGTGTTCTGCTTTGTTCACGATTTTGTCTAAAACCGTGGCATTCACATGCAACACGAGTTCAATTACAATACGCATACGTTACATAAAGGGATCTGAATTCTTGCACATTGATCGTCACCATAACATCATTATGCTTTTGTACATCAGTTTGATAGATAACTTTGTCAAGTATGTTACATTCCTCAAGACTATTTAAGCTTTAAATGCTTTCTAATGAGTATAAAGAGCTCGTAAAATCTAAGCCTACACCAATATTGACGAACACATGTAAAATGCTTACTGTGATTTTAAACGCAATGTCGCATTTTACTTTACAAACAACTAACACGACAAAAAGAAGCAAAGAAATCAGAATATTCAGCGAGAAAGTTACATACACGAAATAAGTACTTTTCCGGTTCTTTCGTAGACTACCTTTTGCTTCATCCAATTGATGGCGGCTTGGTTTTTGTTGTTTGTATCGTCCAAGCTCTGCTCATCAAGATACTTGTTTTGGTTGACATCAGAGTAGTTCAGTTTGGGAAAGATTTCCATATAACCCCATCATTATATTAATTGTGCATTCCATTTCATGAAGACTAAATAAAAACGTTTCTTTGCAACATTCTATGCCTAAGTGATGTACGGGGTTATATGGAAATCTTGCCCAGTTTAGTCTCAGAGATTGTTAGGAGCAAGTCAATGGTCAAAGTTTTGTCATTTCGCTCATATTTTGTGCTCATGCATTTTTCATTTGGTATCTTACATGGTATCTCGTAAGAATCTCGTTTGAACTCATTTGATTACACTATAAGTTCAGGACCGATACTTTCCGAAAACGCTCGACATCTTTTATAGTAGGTCTATCGCGAACGGTATGCGGATCTGTGTGACCTGAACGTATTGACAGAAATCGCCATAATTTTTTCTTCTCCCTTAACCACAACACGTCAAAAATACGTACATCACCACTAAACCGCCGAAACGACATGTAATCGAAAAACTCTGAGTCCTCGCTCCACTAAGCGGAAGCACCTGTGCATTAGTGCAAAATTGCGGATTTGACGTACAAACACACACAGCATTTTCTGACTCAGGGCCGAGCCCGAGTACTAAGGTAACTATATGCAGCAATCATCACTGTTAGGATTGTGAGTGCGAGGAAAATGCGTGGCGAGCGCGTGGGGCGAGACATGCGCGAGGAGAGAGGCGCGGAAAACATATTGCCCATCCACACGTATTTATTATGATGTGCTATTCCTTTCCGGCTGTTAGGATGGCGAACCTGACGAAGGAACAGTCCCGACCACTTTCATTTGTCTGAATTTGTGTATGTCCAGCATAACGTCAGTTATTTTTTTAATGTTCTCTTAATGCACGTACTCGTGCAAGATGATAATGTGTGAATAGTTCGCATTTACTGATACGCTATTTTAAAGATGCCACGTATGAAAGAATTTAAGTTTTAACTTTCCCCATAGAATAAACTTTGATTCAGCCATTTTGAAGAGGAGTTTATGTGCATGTAAATACAGATCAAGCTCAATTTTTTAATTTTATTTTCAGTTCTGAGGGGCTGGACAAAGAGAGTCAGTAGCCGGACGTAGGAGCTGATGATTTTTCGTCACTTCATTGCAATTTTCCGTTTTCATGTGTTTTACATTGCACTTAACTAGATGAACCGTTATTAAAAGTAGTTGCCTCTCACAATATATCTGCGTTTCCATGTTTACAACCTAAAAAAATCAATTCAAACGTAATTAAAACAAGAAGGGTATCACTTAAGCTTAAGGCCCACCCAGAACAATTCTAAAGGAAAATAAGTGTCTCTTAATTGATTCCGTGACAGAGCAAATCATGAAAGTTACATACAGGACCTTCTAAACGTGGCACACACCTTTGCGAGAGCTGAAGGTTCAGTCGGTACAATGTTCGCAGCTCTTGCGACAGAATAACTTCATGTAGTTCCCATACCATAGGTTTCCACAAAACTTGGCCAGGGACCACTTCTTACAATGCGGTAAGTCATCCCTGCAAGACTCGCCTATGGCTGTAAAAAAATATTCTCATTTCTTGAATAAAGAAAAGAAAACTGCACGACGATACCAAGCTCGAAGATAGTAATGCAGTTGAGAAGTTACTAAAAATCTTTACTGACTGAGATGTTTTTGTGAAATCGTATACGGAGTCAATTAACTTAATCTACGTACAAATATACCTCGGTGAGGCAACAAAATCTATGGAGAAAAAAGGAGGGTAGCTATGGTAGGTCCAAGTTAATCATTAACAGTTTTATGTCGATTTGCAGAATGTAATATGTAAATAAGTTACTATTCCCATCGGATCCTTTCGCAATTATTAAGAATAAATTTGAAATGCTCAGTTCTTGATATTCGTGACACTCTCTTTCAAACATTCTCCATCAAGTCTTATTTTAAAGGACGAAGAATGAATTAAAAAGATCTTGCTTATCTTACCAATGCTTTGCTCTGGTTTCTCTTTAGTGGCGGAGATCCAATCCACAAATGAGCTGATTCGTGCAAAAACAGAGAATGTCGAACCACCTCTACACCGATCGTCTCCCCAGCTTACAGCTCCTCTTAAAACCCAACGTCTGTTCTCCTGACAGACGAAAGGTCCCCCACTATCACCATGGCAACCACTGATCACGCTACTTCCACCGTAACCAGCACACAGCATGGTGTCATCGTCCACTTGGGCGTAAGGTAAAATGGCATTTCCATCTGCACAGGTCTGGTAATCTACAACTGGCATCTTGGCTTCTCGAAGAACTTTCGAGAAGTAAGAGGTCAAGTTTGACGATGTTTTTCCCCAGCCTTAGGCAAATTTAAAAGAGCAAAGTTAGGGTTCATAGAGCGTGAACAGTATTCAGTATGGATACTTCTACTTCCTAGATCTTTAATAGCTTATTTAGATTTCTGGGAATTGTCCTCAAGACTACTCCATCCAAGGACACACCACCGACCAGCTTGCTTTCTAGTTGGAGCGACTGGCTACCATACGGGAAATGTGCGGTGGGGGGAAAGAGAGATGGAAGCCGAGGATCCTAAGTTCCAAGCTTCAGTGTAAAAATAATTAAGGTGTATGTGCCACTGGATCACCGAGTAGGACGGAAGGGATCTCGTAAGTTCGAGCCATAGCTTTGAAATAACTCAGGGAAGCGATCTGTTCCTGAAGTGAGAT